AGTAACTGAGGGTCCGTAAGGGGAAGTGACAGCTAAAAGCCTTGACCAGAGTCCAGATGCGCTGTGTCTCTCTTGTCCGAATATCAGCCTAGAAGGTGCCTGGCACTCTGACCACATACCATCTGGCCAGAATGGTTGGCATGGTTTGTTTTGCCACCTTGGCATTGCTGCATCTTGATGGAAGCCCAATCAAGGCTTATGACTTATGACTTGGCAGGTTCAGCACATGGTCTTGAAGTCACCTGCTGGCATTCTTCTGTGAGAGGGAGTCCAGAAGGCTCATTAGTGCCCTTTTCCCAGCACCTCCAGCTGTCTCATCAGTTTTCAGCCCAGTGTGCATGGTGACTGCAAACCCACTTCTTCCTACATTTAATACTTCCTCCTCCATGGAAAGACTAACAGAGGACAGAGCCCTGGACGAGGAGTCAGGAGACATGTTCTCTGGACCCAGCTCTGCCACTAAACTACAGTGACATCTTGGGCCAGACCCTCAGTTCCTCTGGGCTCAATGTCCTTCCCCACTCATAGAACAGGGTCTTCGTTAAGTGGGCATCAAATGGCCCTTTCAAGTCTAACATTTTGAGATCCCAAGACAGGGTCCAGTCTTCAGGTTGCCATTATGCTGGTTTCTAGAATATGGTCTTTTCTTTTTTAAGATTTTATTTATTTGAGAGAGAGAGCACGAGCAGGTGGTGGGGGTTGCAGAGGGAGAAGCAGGCTCCCCACTGAGCAGGGAGCCCGATGCAGGGCTCCATCTCAGGGCACTGGGATTATGACCTGAGGTGAGGGCAGCCGCTTAACAGACTGAGCCACCCAGGCTCCCCTAGAACATGGTCTTTTCAAACACCTTAAGCAATATCTCTCTCTCCCTAGCTCTCTCTTCTGTGAAACTGGCCAAGAAGGTTTCATTGGCACATACGTCTCTCCAGGCTTCCAAACAATGCCCAGAAAAGTTCCATGATCCTAGAGGAGGCCAAGTTTGGGCTTATAAATCTTGCCCATCTAAAGACCTTGGTCTTCAGAAAAATTCACAGAGTGCTTAAGTTGTTTGAAAGGTGGAATACCCCATAGAAGGGGTAAGGTGTCCAGGCTCTGGTCCTACCTCTGTCACTACTTCATGGGGTGACCTAGGACAAGTCTGCCATGGGGGTAACATTGTGGAGCATATGTGTTATATATTTGCCAAAGCCTGGACCAGGTAACCTCTCCAGGAACTTCCATTTCTATAAACCATGCAAATCCTTACAGAATCAGGCTGTTCATAACTTAGATGACCCCATACCTAAAATGTTCTATTCTACCACTGCAGGTGTCTGGAAATCTAAATGTGTGAAGAGAGTCTCCTAGACGGGGTAGAGCAACATGCCCACAAAGACAGACAGTTGGAACTGGGACTGACTTTCCCCCTGCTGCAGCAAGCCTGGCTATATATAGCTGAGTCTACACAGCCTGCTAGAATAAACTAGAAGGGCCACACTGCTCTTCATCTAGCTAAGGACACTAGGGCCCAGAGAGGGGAAATTCCTAGATTCTAACTCCCAGGCCATCAACTCAGCCATGACTTGCAAACAGTTCTCATTTCCCCCACCTGAATGGTCAGTTCTTCAAACTGAACCCCTCCAGACATCACATTCAGCTGGGAAATTAATGAAACAGGGGTGTTTTGCTCCCCATGCTCCCAGCATCCAAAATTCTAGGGACATCACAGCCTTCCAGCTACAGGTCACACCACCTATTTGTAAATCACTCCTTCCTGTCTTCGTAACCAAAAAAGAAAGTCGTATCATGGACTCACAGGGTGACACATGGCTGGCGAAATGCCCAACTGGCCCTTGGCAGGAGCCTCATGACCCTCAAAACAGCCCAACACATCTTTGAATAGCACTAACTGGTCAAATATTTGAGCTGCCAGCCCTATGATTTACAGTGTGATGTGTGTCCTCAGAGAAGGTCTTCCCATCACCTCATCTGAGAAATAGGGACAAGGGCAATGTTAGTTATGAGTTGAGTGTGTCATCTCTTCAAACCTCCATGTAAAGCCTTGCTGTCTGGGCCCCACGGAGCAGGCTGCTCCACCTTCCTGCTGACAGCCTGTCAGATGTGAAAGGCCAACAATCGTGTCCTCCTCTGGGCTCCTCTCCACGTTCAACTGCCCCCTTCCACCAACAGCTTCTCCAGTGTCCCGTTCCCAGCCCCCTTCCCTCAGGCAGCTCCAGCAACGCCATTCTAGGAGACGGTTGCCCGTGTTTTTCCTTTTGCTTGAAACCATCTAAAAGGTTCTTAAAGAAAAACTAAAATACACCTTGCCATTTGACTTCAGGAAATGCAAATGCTTCAGAATGAGGGTTGTTTTTTTGTTTTTTTTTTTCCATCCTTGGGTTTCTCAGAATTACAGCTGAGGTCAACCAAGCAAACATACAAAGACCAAAGGGGAAAGGAAAAACAAAACCTGTATGTGTGAGAGGCAAGCCCAGGCTTGTACTTGTCCAGCCACCTACCTGTTTACGGAAGCTCACCTGACAGATGCCACCACAAGTGACACGCTGTGAGGGGGCCTCCAGCCAATGAGCAGAACCTGTTCTTGGCATGATGTGTTGGCCTCAGCCCAGGGCATGAGTCCTCTCCTCCCATTTAATCTACGCTAACCTGAAGAACTATGTGGGAATGAGGCTAGGTGTTCTTCCAGCCTCAAGCGGAAAGACAAGCCAAGCACCCCCGTTCACCTCACCCATGCCAGAACTCAGCTGACATCCACGGAGGGAAGTAAGAGAGAGAGACGAGATGATTCAATTCAACAAACATTTACAGAGCATCTTCTGCGCTGAGCAGTAGGGATATATAAATAGTTGTCTCTGCCCTGAGGGTTCACAGTCTAATGGAGGAGGCAAATAGGCAAATAGAGGGAAGGTCAGAGATGACTTCCAGGCCATGCTTTAAATAAGGAATAACTTTCCCTGTGAAGGGGGGTTTCCAGGTGGAGAGGCAAATTAACATGCGTGTTTGGGGGCTGACCGGTATCGTGGTCAGCAATCGACCCAAGGCGTTCGAGTCAGACAGCCTGGGTTTGAACCTCACTCTCCCACTGATGAGCTGTGCAAATGTGAACAAGTCATTAACCTTTTAAAGCCTCAGTTTCCTTATGTACAAGACCGAAATCACTGTAGTAGCCGTCTCATGAGGTGGTTGTAAGAATTAAGTGAAAGACCGAATGTAGCATGCTCAGCAGAGGACCCGGAAAATCGCCATCACTATATTAGCTATTATTATCGTCTGCCCTATTGCTACTACTCTCGGGATTGAGAGTACAAGGGCAGGAGGGAAGGTAGGGGTGAGGCTAGAGAATGCAGGAGGGACAGATCACTAGGGACCATGAACGCCTGGGGAGGATCGGGGCCCTGATCCAGCAGGCACAGCAAAGTCCGAAAGGGACTCCCAGCAGAGAAGAGACATGGCCAGATATACCTCGCTGCAATGTTCTCTGACTCGATGTTCCACACTCCCAAAGAGGGGAGGCTGGCCAGGGGGACTCTCTTAACAGCACTCACAGTGCATTAGAGAATGAGCGGCCCTCATGTTGTAACTCTTGATTCTAAAACCTCAGGAAAACAAAACAAAACAAAAAAAAACGGCAGCTGGTCTACCAGCCCTCATCACCAAGGAGACCTTTGGGCCAGAGCATCTATGGGTTGAGGGCAGACAAAAATCACAACTGCCCCCGGCTTCTGCAGGGGTGGCTGCCTGCTAGCAGTGAGCTTGTTCAGACAGCAGAGGGAACTGTTTGCTTAACTTCCAACCTCTCCAAGGCTCCATGGGGAAGTGAGGAAGGCCGGGAGAGATTTCCTCAGGCCTGGGGCAGAGAGGCAAATGGGGAATATTGTGAGCCCAACAGATACCACTCGGAGATCCGGGGAGCAAACTCATCAGGGTGTGGCTGCTTCAACCAAACAGGCCCATGGCTGCCTCATCTCTGACAGATGGAATGAATGGCCACCCTGATGACATCATCAAAAAGATGTCAATGTCAGGTCTTAGATCTCCCAATTTTATAGATAGGAAACCAACGTCCAAAGAGAAGAAGGAATTTACCCACAGTAAGTTGAATTCATGAGTCACCGCAGGAAATGTATAACTTGGCTCTTTGCATATAAAATAGTTTCTATAATAAGAAGCTGCTAAGCCAGCATCACCGGTGAATATATTAAAAATATTTTTGTTCCTTAAATACCATAATGACATAAACACTGTCTTTTTCCCCTGCCAAGGAAGTTCCCGGTAGCAGGCTTCCTGCTTAGATCTCTTTAATCTTATATCCTCTTAAAATTGAGCACAAGAATGTGTTTATCTCCACTGTCCAGCAAATGGCTTGGAGAAGGAAAACTGGCCTCTAGAATCAGATAGACACGGGGGTGAATCTCAACATTACCACCAACTTGCTTGACCTCGTGTCATTGACTCTGTCTAGGCATCAGGACATCCACTTTGCAGAGTTATTTGGAGAATTCGATCAGCAGAAATATGTAAAAGTGCACAGATTAGTATCTGGTGTGCTCTCAAAGGAAGGATAGCAGTAATTACTATCAGAACTATGGTTCTGACCATCACTGCCAGGCGGAGGGACGTGGGAGAGTATACGTAATCTATCTGGCACCCAGGCTTTTTCCCATCTGTAAAAGGGACTTAATAATACCACTCTCATTGAGTTGCTGCGAGGGTGAAGTGAAGTAGGTAAAGGGACAGGAATGGCACCTGGTACCTAGGGGAGCTCAGGTCCTCTTTGCTTTCCTTCCCCCTGCTTCCAGTCTTTGTGGAATCAACCAATTCCAAAGAATCCTAAAATCCTTTACCTGATGGCAAAATGAGAAATAAACAGGTTTCCTTTTAGGTCCCCAAATGGAAACAGAATACTAATTGTCTCCATCCAAGGGTCATGGAAAAGGATCTGGTGTCTCCAGTCCCCAGAGCAGAGAAAGACATTTAATATGTGATCTCCTTATTTTTAGGAAATTGCTCAGAGGACATCTCATGTATACTGGAAAAGGCTCCGTTCAAGAAGTCATGGGCCTACCTGCAAGGTCAGTAACTGAATCCAGGAACTCTGGCTACCTGAGGGCCACTTCCTGTGGCCTTTCTGAAACCTCTAAACCAGAGAGGTCACAAGGAGAAGCCCATGGCCAAATATGACCTGCAGGTGTGGTATCTAGCCTGCATGCTATTTTTTATAATTTGAGTTTAAAGAACTTAGGGGCGAAGGGGAGAGACCCACAAGACTCCTCCTTCCTCAGCCCCCTTCACTTTTCTGTGTTGCCAACCTGGCCTCCGAAGGCATTTGTGTCTGGCCCTCAGGGCCCCTCTCTATTCAGATTGGGGGCGGCCAAGTCTGGGGCCGGCCAAGTCTGGGGCCAAGTGCACAGTACTTTTCCTCACGAAACAGAAGCAGGCTCCTAGTCTCTGCCTCTGTCGGGTTACTCACAAGGGAACCACAAACTTGCCTTGTCCCCTGATCGACAACTTAATGAACTTGCTGGTGCCCAGCCTATTTGCATACTGCAGTGTGCCCCAGCTCAGAGGCCCCTTCTAAAGGACAGTGCGAGGCACTTAGGCTGGGAAAGCCGAGATATGGAGGGGATGGCCAAGATCCGCTGAATGGCCATTCTGCCCATTTTAAAAATTCCATTTTGCAGTTAGATTAGTTCTCACTCTTCAGTTGAATTGCAGCGAGGTTGAAAGGGAAGGCATGGAGGCAATTAAAACGAAGGCCTGCCTTCCAATTCTGAAAGGCACCCTGACTAATCAGTGCTGATTTTCACTTGTTAGGACTCAGAGAGACTTGGCTTTCCACACGAACATTTTGGCTCACAGGGTCTGCCAATCCTTTGCTTCTCTAAAAATCCCAGCTGGGAAGAGCCCCTGACTGTACACTGGCGGAGTCTACACAATTATGTTTGGCTGCCCTTTCAAAGAGAGGAAGACATTAAAAAAATTGAGACAATGAATTGTTAAAGGATGCAATCAACAGACTGAGATTCTCCTGGACATCTTGATGCTTAAATTGGTTACTAACTGAACAAAACTGCATCTCCTATCTCAGATACTTGATGCAATGCCTACCAAATAGCAGTCCCTTAGTGATGGAGCATCGATTGATTGATTGATTGAATGAACATGATAGTCCAGAACTTGTGGGGAATATAGCCCAGGAACTCACGGTCTGAAAAGGCAAAGTTAATAATTATAATAATAACAGAATAATATAATAAATTAGTGGAGAGTGATTCTATAGGAGGTAGTAGTCCATTACCATGTGTCTTCTGACCCTCCAGCTTGAAGCATTAGAGAAAAGGAAGAGGGGTGGTTTTGCACCTGTGCTTTGAATATTAAGCAGCACCTGGAATGAGTAACATGAAAGATATTCCAGATGGTTGGAACAGCAGACAATGTTATAGAAAACACGGGTCTCGAATGGGAAACCTTGAATAAAAACTTCACATTTTCCGATCTGCATCTGAAATATGCTCGGTAATTCTTTTTTGTCCTTCTCTTTCCAGTGTCAAAGCATATAAACAAATCCAAGTTGTCTTGGAACAAAGATGGCATTGTCCATGGAGTCAGATATCAGGATGGGAATCTGGTAATCCAGTTCCCAGGTTGGTATGTCATCATTTGCCAACTGCAATTTCTCGTGAAATGCCCAGAACATTCTGTTGACCTGAAGTTGGAGCTTCTCATCAACAAAGACGTCAAAAAGCAGACACTGGTGACAGTGTGTGAGTCTGGAGCACAAACCAAAAACATATACCAAAATCTCTCTCAATTCTTGCTGGAGCACCTCCAGGTCAACACCACCATATCAGTCAAGGTGGATAAATTCCAGTATGTGGATACAAACACCTTTCCTCTTGAGAATGTGTTGTCTATCTTCTTATATAGTAGTTCAGACTGAACCATTTCTTCTGGTCTTCAGGAAGAAAGCCACTCTCTACCATACAGTACTTCATCCATCCAAACACTTGGGCAAAAAGAAAACTCTAGACCAAGACTAAAACCATAAAGTATACTAAATAATATGCTTCTCCTTCTGTCTCTTGGGAAGATACAGCTCCAGGGTTTAAAAAAACAAAAAACAAAAAAACAGTTTTGAGTGAAGTATCTTTCAAATTGAAGGCAGGGAAGCAAGACAGTATGGTGGGAAAAGCCCCACATGGGTATCAGAAGGGATGAATTTATGCCCTGGCCCAACCACTAACTCACTCACTGTATGATCTGGAGCTATTCCTTTCCCCTCCCTGGAACTCTGGATCCATGTCTGAAAAATGAAGGGGCTGGATTTGAATCTTTCCAAAATCTCTTCCATCTCAAAAGACCAAGATGCCTCATCCCAGACCTGTGAACTAAGATTCCAGGCAGTGTTCTAGAAGCCCCCAACCAAAGGTAAGGCCCTCACCTCACACCAGTATAAATCTGATGGTACGTACATAGGATCTGGCCGCATGTCCCTCAACAGAGTCAGAATTTGGGGATGAGGTTCAGGTTCCCTTGACAAATGATGTGAACTGTGGGATCTGAAATGTGTAAAAGAAAGGACTGCCCAGCTGACCATCTCAAATCTAAAAGGCCTCCTGGTATTTGGAAAGCCATCTGACTGGCCTTGACTCCATTCAAGTTAAGGTTGACAACACATCAACAACAGACAGCTTTCGTTTCCTGTAGGGAAAGGCTGTGTGTTCAGCAGGCACTCCATGAGCATGCAGTGGTCATGGTGATGCAGCCATTTGGTCAGAGACCAGCTGCTGCCATTTCTCACATGATCTCTCTCTGTTCCCTGCTTCAAACGCCTCTCAGGAAGCCATTTCTGTGGAGGGCCATTAAGGCCCCCAAATATTGATAATGATGATGACCCTGCACATGGTGAGGACTTTTGAACAATGGCAACCTCCTCTCCTGATTGGGGTAACTGTGAGATTTCTCTAGCTACACCAACCTATCTTTACATCTGTCCATCATTTCCGAAGGAGCAGCTTATCTGTTGAAAAGGACCACTGAGCTTGAAGTATAAAGACCCAGATTTTATGCTTCAGAAGCAAAAGGGACCCTTCACTGCCATGCAAAAGAATGGAGCAAAATTTGCATTTTCTCAAAAAAGGTGGAAGGAAAAGAAAAATGTAGGAAATCAGGAAAGTTTGTCAGAGAAAGACTAGAAAAAATTTAAAAGAAGAAAAGAAAAAAAAAAGCCAGCAGTGTTGGTATGGATGAGAAGGACTTGGGAACACAAAATAGCTAGGGGAAAAATTGAAATCATTTGCTGAGCAGCGTGCTATGTCAACCTCCTCCTAGGCCTCCTCTATGAAATATTCAGTAAAGTCTACATTTCTCCTAACGCTTTCTATGAGTAGATTCTTTGGGAAGAGCGGGCATTGGAAGAGGTGTTGAATTCAGCAAGCCAAGTATATAGTAAACACAGACAGGTTTGAGGACCCAAAACTAGCAAGTAAGAGAGCACCTGGCATTTGAGTTATACCCAAACTCTGAAGGACAAATGAACCTTGCTTAAGCCAACTCATGCATTCTTGAGAAGGTATCTGCAATCTAAGCTTGGGTACACTAAGCAAATTTTCTACTGTCTCATACTCAAAGTTGAGAAAGATACCATCTCTCTGAGCAGAGACACCTGACTTTTACACTTGAGTGGTTCCTACTCTCAGTCTCTGTCAAGCAATACTCTGAGAGCCAAGCGCTGAAGACACAGGGAGCTCAGCATTTGAAGGAGTCCTGTAGCAAGACAAAAAATTAAAAGAGAATAATCATTAGTAACTCAACTGAAAATAATAGGGTGTAGATAAGCTGGAAAGTTTAAAACCAGATTCTGTTACTCCCTGAGGGTTAACCAGCCCCCCACCCCGGGAATGTGGTAGCATCTATGTAAGTAAAATAAATAATTTTTCTAACTGGAAACTCAGGCTACTTGAAACATATGCCCCCTGAGGAAAAACCCGGAGCACACACACACACACACACACCACAGTAATACTTGCAGAAAGTGTAGAGAAGGGCAATGTGTAAGTTGATAAGAAACGAGTCAGTGTAGACTAAATGTGTTCCTGCCCTTGGGGAATTCATAAGACATTGTTTCTCCACATTTAGTAACTTTTTCTCCATAGCATCTGTCTATCACCCACTGCTGCCTCCTTAACCTACCCTCTTCCCCCTCAGAATTCCCCAGTCACACAAAGGTTGGCTCAGAGGAGGTCCTTGCACCCCCAGGAGGGTGGATAGGAACAGGCTCTAAAGGGAGGAAAGGCTGAAGGAAGTTGGGCAGAATCTACCAAACAGGAGAGCCTTCTGGAATCCCTGGAATACCACTGATTATTCTGGCACTTACATTAAGAGGCTTGAGAAATTAGTCAGTGTCGTCTCTGGAAAGATGCTGATTGATGAGCTAAGCCAGTGGTTGATTGTATGCCCAACAGCGGGCAGAGCCTTGTCAAGTCCTCACATATGGTTAGTAGCAGGGCTGGGATTTGAGCTAGCAGTGGGGCCCAGCCTCCTGACTCCCCTCTCCACTATTTCCCACCAGGCTCTACTGGTCTCATCCTGTAGCCTTTCTGGAATTCCTCGGGTCATATCTTTCCAGCCCTGCACTGGGGTGGTCCCCAGCATTCAGGGACTTCCTCTGTTCTTCTTTGCCCTGAATCAGATCCTCCAGGATTATCATTCGAATGTGAGACACAGATAGTGTCTGGATTCAGTACACAGTCAAATCACAGAAAAAGCCAGCGTCCCATATATAAAAGTTCAATCTCTCAGAAACTGAAGAAATAATTTAAAAATTAAAAGCTTATTGTTTTAATCTGAATTTATACATATATGTGTGTATATGTATGTATATCTGTGTATGTATTTATCTGTATGTACACGCATGTGTATTATATATACACATATGTGTACTCTGTGTGTGTGTGTGTGTGTGTGTCCCCGCTTTCCCCTAGTAATTGTTTTCAGGTCATCTGCTTAACCTGCAGTCAGGGGAGGAAGGTTTATTCTTGCTCGGGGCATTGCAAAATGTATGTACAATTGTATTTATTTTTAATTATGAGAACAACAGAAAATAATATTTCTCCCATGCCTCACTGCTTATTTAATAACTATTAATATTTTGCCATGTTTGCTTCAGCTTCTTTTTAAAAATAAAACACTGCAGATAGAACAAAGCTTCACTCCTCCATCCATTTCCCTCCACCCTCCCCAGAGATAGCCACTGCCTGGAAGTGTGCCCAGCCCCTTCACTTACATAATTTTATACTTGTTTTCCCATAAGAATACATAGTACAATTTTGTGTGGCTTTAACAATTTCAATAAATGAATTTTTTTCAATAAATGACATCATACTTCATATCACATTTTGTGACTTGAAATTTTTCAGGTAACGTAAATTTTTTGAGATTTATGCAGACTGACACCTGTATATCTAGCTCACTCCTTTAACTGCGATATCCTATTCCATTGTTAGAATATACTGGATTGGCCAGGCTTCTATGGGTGAATATTTAGCTTGTCTTCTGATTTTGCTGCAATGAGCATATCTCCCCGTACAGCTCCTACTCCTTGTTGCCATTTTTCTATATAGCAGAAATACTCTTTGAAAATTATAACTAGTACTCTTAACTCTACTGAGTCATCCTCTGCAGGTGAGGCTAGACCCCTCTGTGGTCACAGCTCATGAGCTGGAGCTTTGGAATCTAAAAAGCTCTTTCCGTTTTTCCTAGAACTTCTGCGCTCTGTACATCCATTCCACACACAAGTCCTGAGGGCCAGTGTGGTGCCAGGCCCCCATGCCATGTGCTGGTTTTTCCAAAGCATTCTGGGGCTTCCCTGGATCCAGTTCTCTCCCTGGAGAGCAAATGGAAAATACCAGAGTGCAGGAAGGACGAGGACAACCCCAGACAGAAAATTCTCCCCGAAGATCAAATGTCTGTATTTCTTGGTGTCTATCCCCCACCTTTCTCTTCACAATCCATGCTGTCTCCCTGGATGGCTTACTCAACTTCCCCTTGGCTTCAATGGCATCTTCTTGCCAATAACTACATAATCTATATCTCCAGCTTTGATTGCTTCTGGAATTCAACCCCATATTTTCAGTAGCCACTGGGCTCTACACATGAGTTCTTTCTGAGATCTTGCAATGGAAGATTGGCACTCCACACCTAAGGTAGTGACTTTCAAGTTTGTTTTTGTTTTTGTTTTTGTTTTTACCGTGGCTCAGAGGAAGAAATGCTTTACTTTGCGACCGAAGACATGTATACACAGACACACACACAAAACCCTAAGACAAAGGTTACATTAAGTAATACTTACTACTTGTGACTAAGAAAAAAATCTTGTCGTGACCACCTGAATTGATTTTTATGATGCTGTCATGAGTCACAACCCACAGTCTGCAAAGCACTGTTCTAGCTTGACTTTCCCTGCTCCAGAAGTTGGAAGGCTCAAAATATACTTTCCTAATTCTCTGGCAGCTTGAGTTCTAGAAGCGTGTAGTCCAAGATGGACAAGATTTTACCCAAGCCCTGATTTTTCTGCAGGTGCATTTGCAGAAGCTTCAGTGTTCAGATACTAGGTTGGTAGGTGCGGTGAGTCTGGTTAGGGACAGGAGCATCCATTCTGCTGACATGATCTGTTGCAGATTCACAGTGGTTCTAGATCTGGCAGCAGTATCGGCTTCCTGATTATGGCGGTTTCCTGTTTGAAACAGTGGTGTCGTGGCTCTAAAGGAGCAGCTTCCTGATTGCAAGATCATTCAAGAGAGAGCAGCTACTCTTGTACCCCCATTGTGAGGGGTAGCATTAGAGGTTGCTCCTGAAAGCTCAACCTGGATTCTGTTTCCTCAGCCCTCTCGGCAAGTTCATAAGCCACCTAATATACTGTGATAAGTGCCTTCCTGCTAACAAGCTGGAGTGACATCGGTTCTCTGCAAATGATCCCGGATGAATACAATCTTAACATGTAAAACTGACTTCACAGGACTCATCCCAAACTTGTCACTATTCCTATGTTCTAAATCTCAAGGACAATTTGAGTCTTCATGACCCTTATTTCCTAATTCCCATTCAATCAACATCTGTCCAGTTCATCCAATTCTCTTGTGCCCACCAGCACCATGTCACCTGCGTTACCCTTGTCACCTCCTAACTCACACCCTGGCTCCTGTCTTACCCCTTACAAATCCCATCCCTGGATGGCACCATCATTCTGGGTTCTGATAACAATAATGGCCACTTATCAAGCTCTTACATGTTCTGCACTTCTCATGTACTTACTCACTCTGTCATTTAAACTTAAACAGCCCTGGGAGGCAAGTATTGTACTCC